GCGCAGACCCCCGTCGGTGCGCGGGCTAGGATCAGTTATGGGGATAAATATTTGTTTTTGTAGATCAGCATGAAATTTAGCCATAATGTAAATTAAACTTATAATGAAAATGAAAACATAGCGAGGTAATGAAGTTCAAAATTGGAATGGAAACATAGCGAGGTAATAAAACTTAAAATTGGGAATAATCTTATCGTGCTTTGAAAAAAATATACAAATTACAATGATGTAATTGCTATGAAAATTCGAGTAGTACTCACAAAAACACAACACACCAAAAGCTCACAAGCAGGTCCATCGAGGTTGGTCGTGTGTTTGTCGAGTTCTGCTGGCATACTGCCTTTAATGCTGCCATTATAGTAGGTGGCTTATAAGTTTTTAATGACTCTGAAAGACAGGATGGTGTGCTATTTTCTAACATAAGAGGTCAACTGATATAGACGTCAACCCGTCAACGACATCTCAAAAAGGAAGGAAGATAGGCGAGAAATTTACAGTTTCACTGTCGAATAGGGCGTAGTCGGTAAGTAAAAATGGGCCCTTACCAAATCCATGTTTTATTGCTGAGCTTCGACATGCTCTAAAATCGATCAAACCGAGCCTAATCAATAGTGTAATTGGATGTGTCAGAATTACGTTTTTCACAACGAGCTCATGCTACACGCAAAAGCACATCTTGAGACGGATTACAATACTATTCCCCGTTTTCCTGCATCGACTAGATCTCGTTGCCAGGAAGCGCAGCTACGAGATGCGGCTTGAGCTGCGCTGATTTGGTACTCAGAAGGCATTTCTGTTCTGCGCGGGCTGCGTCGGGGCGGCTGTCGGACTGAGCAGCTCCACCGATCCGCCGTTAGGAGCCGCTGATTGCACGCGCTCCGTACCAGGTCCGACTGGGACGCCGCGCCGACGGCTCCCGGCTCACATTTAAGGCTGCCAATTCCGGCATCATTCTGTTTTCCCGTCGGATTTTTCCTCTAAGGAATTCTTGACAATGGCTCTTGTTGCGTCGTCAGTTGTAAATTATTCGCCGGCGGCAGCGGGGCCTCACTGAAGCGGCCCCATAGTGAAGCCATTCTGTCAACAGAGAATGGGACGAGACGGGGCCGCCAGGAGACGAGGAAGGTGAGCCCGGAGAGCGCCGCTTGCGGTTTTTGAGACGCTCAATAGAAAAAATCCAGCACTTGAGAGCACTGCTGATGATGATGCACGTTTATGTCACACACTTCCACATACCGTCTTTTTGTGGGCATTTAAACTAGGCTTGGCTTTAAAATTTCCGACGCGAGATCACGCATATCAACAGCAGATGTTTTCTTTGGTTTTCTTGTCCTATCACGCCTGTTTGAGCGCCAGATTGACGTCATTCGGAGGTCAGTCGTGCATAAAATAGAATGCAGAGTGCTGGTGGCTGACGCGGTGGTGACTTTAATATGGGTGGCACGGCATGCAGCGGTGGGCGTTGTGCGTTGGGTGGTGGGCGTTGAGCGGTGGGCGGTGGGAGGCAGGCGGATGCCTCTGTAGACGCCGGGCGCCGCGCCGGACGGCGGTGGGGGCGGTGGCGGCGCCGGCGGTGGTGCCGGGCGCGGCGCGTGTCGGTCCCAGACCACTGGCGACACGCTAATGGAGACGGATGGCGGTGCGGCCGTGTCGGGGATTAGCGGCGCCGCCGGGACCGGCGCCGGGTCCACTGTCGCCGCCGGCGGCCCGTGAGGCTCCTCTGTCGCGGCTGATACCCGCGGGAGGCCGCCCTTCATCGGGCGCGTAATGGCGCCGACGGGTGACACGACACCGCCGCCGGAGACGGCCGCCGTCCCTCCCACCGAGCAGAGCCGCCACTTAGGGGCAGAGTGAGTTTTTATCAGAGAGTAGAACTGGCAGCACGAGGAAGGCTGAGAAATAAAGATTTCAAGACTTGCGAATACTTTTAAGCACTTAATTGTCCACAGTGGATCCCTTAAAAAAGTGTGCAAAGCAGGAAGAAAGGTAAGGTAGGCCCAGATAGATGTGATCTTTGATTTGGCCAAAAAGGTGGTATCGGACGCTGCGGAGTGCGTACTGCATACTTTGTAAAAAGTTCTCCAAATTCCATAAAAAATACTCTACGGATTTTGCTTCATGTGGATCGCATCGCTGCGCACGTAATAAAAAACAACTGTTTTCTAACAAAAGTTGCTTAATTTTCTATCTACGCCAGCAACGACAAACTTTCTTCAACTTTGGGCGCCGCGGGAGGGGCATGCCTATGTCACGAATGCCTCCTCCCCCGCTGGATACCTCAGAGCTGCTGATCCGCCGAAAGTGTAATTAATTGGGAAAGCCCGTTGTTCTACCGATCCCTGTTGGCAATAACTCTACCAATGCCGAGTTCTGATCCATTTGTGTCCGCATTCCGACAGACACTAATGATGCTTAAATGACCAGCTGAGCTCTCAGCGGTCAGCTATGTTTGACAGCGTGCATGCTGCCAGAGTGTTTCCATATTGCAACATGTCACTTTCATGACGTCTATAAAATATGGCGATTGAACGGCCTATGGCGCTGGGGGCGATTTCGAACGATTTACATGTGATGAGATCGGGTGTTCCAGTTATGATGGACGATAATGTGTTAGTTCGGCGGATGGGCGCGCCCTATGCAGCCGCGACCCAACGTCTATGGTCCGTGTTGGCGGGAAAATATTTCACAGCAGAGTAATGGAAACGCACTGTAAAGGTCTTCGCCAGCCTCTGCGAAGGACATCTACACCCAAAACAGATACGCCACAAATCACATTTCGGAAGAGTGCAAAAACGAGTACGTAGATATTAGTGTTCATGCATCTTTATGCAATTGTTTATTTTCCGAAATTCAATCGCAAATATGTATATCAGTTAACCCTCGCCGGACCTATTGGTTTTCTACATACGCGCCGGCCGAGGGGGGGGGGGGGGCGGGTACGACCCCCCCCCTCGCCGTTTCGCCCCTGGTGGAGCTAGCGCGTCGCGGAAAAAACGAGCGTGTGCGCCGTTACGAGACGCAGAGATTGGTACCCGATTTTAAGGTCCTAGGTCAACCGGTGACCTCTGAGGTCAGGTCAAGTGCCCCAGGGTACGGTTCAGTTTTTGGTGAATAACTTCGCAAAAAACGGCCGCAGAGCCGCGATTTTGGCAGCATCGTGTTCGCCTTGATCAGGCGCGTCGAATGATATACTTTTTGTCCGGGTCAGGTCAACTTGGGGTGTTGACCTCAGGTCAAGGTCAGGTCAGCACCCCCAGGTCACGAAGTTGGTCAAAAGAGGTCATGTCGCATATCATTCGATTCGGCAGGTCTTCCTGAGTCCATTGGTGGCTTTCCCGACTCGCTAGCTCAATTTGATCGGGAGTTATTGACGAAAAACTAATATGACCTTGATGACGTCATAAATGACGTCACGGAAGGTCAACATTGCAAAAGTGACGCATCTAACCTTGCAAGGAGTGCATAAAATCACGATTCTGTGTGCTTGAGATAGTTGGAGATCGTTCCCGGGGCCAGAATAGCAGTTTGAATTTTTCCCCATTGACTTATAATGGTGAGGTCACGAAAATGACCTGACCTCATATGACCTTTAGGAAAAATCCGAGATATACAAGTTGTGAGACTCATAATGGATACTAGATCCTGCAAGTTTCATTTCCCTGTGACATCTCCTCTGGCAGTGAGGGCGTTGCGAAGTTGCGACATCTGAAGACCGTGCAGAGGTTCACTTATGACGTCATAGGTCAGTGACCTGACCTGACCCAAAAATGCGGTTGGTGTCAAAAGATGCGGCTTGGATCAAAGGTCAGGTATGCCAAGTTTCAGCTCTCTATCGCCAACGTGTTCGGAGCTATCGCGAAAAAACCCTATGGGGGGGGCGGCACCCGTCCCCCCCCTCGGCCGGCGAGGGTTAACATTGACGTCGGACCTTTACATTATTCGCATTGTATGTATCACCAGTATCCCTTATAAATTGGATGTTGCATTAACTGCAACAATATAACCTCGTTCAGACGGTATAAGTGGTGCACTGTACTGCATAATGTATATGGATTATGCAGGTTTTTATGAAACATTTTGAATGAACAAAGATGATAATTGTTGATGACTTCTTGTCATTGCTTTGCTAATGAAAACAATGTTTCTATCAATTCGAACGGCCGGCCGTCGTGCGTCCAACGCTACCAATGCATAGGTGCCATGAGGGTTGCCTACGCTGCAGGGGACTACGGCTGGTGCATTGCGGGTTAGCATACCTCTCAGGCAGCCGCTGCTGTCGACACGGCTGCTGTCTGCTAGTGGTCGCAGCCGTGGGGCTGGGCAGTCAACAATGAACAAGAAGCCCGTCTAACATAAAAGTAAAAACATTGGAAACTTTTTAACCTAATCCAACCTTTAGACCAATTAGTTTGGCCTCAACCGACTTTCATCCTGACTAATTACATTTGTCGAGCTTAAAGCTTTGATCAGATGATTTTCTAGCCGTCATGAGGTGTCGACAACCAGCTTATCTTGTAATGACCGATCGACATGGGATGAAAGAGATTTGTGAAAGAAATAAACCTTCCCTGACACTGCACTACATCACGGATGGCCGTCCCACGCACTATCGCTTGTAAGACCACACTGGTTCAGTCTCAACCCGGCTCACCTTTTCCAGACTATAACGGCCTCTGCTTCTACTTGGGAAATGTCGTGAAATTCTACCACACTACAGCACACACTAAAAATACGAACATAAAACTCTTGTTGTTGTTGGAAATCTTTGGTCGCTGCAATCCTTCCGTAAATTAATGCCTCAATCGCAGTGGCCTGCAGTTTAAACTATCGCTGACGCTCGGTATCGGCGACGGTGACGGGTTTCCAATAGGGTGGACAGGTCGGCGCAGTGGTCGGCGACGGCGAGCATTTCATTGCATTAGCCGCCCTCCCTCCCCGCCCCGCCCCTAGTTTCGTCGGCACCGTCGCGCCGTCTGGCCCCGGTGCGGCTCGCGGTCGTCAGTCGGTCCGTGGTGGACGAGGGGGACGCGTCGCAGGAGCTCACTCCGTGGTCGCTGCGCGCCGGAGGACCCCGGCGGGAGTAGCGCGTGTGCAGTGAGGACTGAGACGCAGTGGAACATACGGGACAAGAGTGCGTAGTGAGGGTCGTGCATTCAGATTGCGGAAGTGACTGAATGCTTGAGGGAAAACAAGCGAGGAACAACTTCCCTGTGTTCTGAATGCTCTATCGTCTTGATATGCGCTAAGTGGCAGCCTGATAATGCACTTTCCAAACTAGTCACATTATGTTGCAACGCTGAAATTCAGGCTTAATTGCCAAGTCATAAAGATCAAGTTTCGCTACTGATACCAAATTTATTTAACGGTGCTATTGTTATTACAAGATCATCTCTTCTGTGGGCCAGACATTGTCAGACGCTGCAAAGTAGACCAGACTTTGTCAGTCTACCTCAGATTTCCGTATTGCACTGCGTGCTCCACGACCCTCTGGCCGCGGGCGCCCACGGCGGTCCTTGATGCGGCGTGCCGTCTGTCTGGTGGTCTGCCCCCGCGTCTGGTGACCGGGCTGGGTCTCTGGCGGTGTCGCCATGGCAGTCCTGCGGAGACGCTGCACCTGGCCACAGCTGGCTCTGCTGGCCGTCCGAGTCATATCCTTAGTGGGTAAGTGAGTCCACTCCCCGTAATGAGAGTGCGTGATTAGAGGCCCTTTACGTGTCCGACCGAAAACCTCCATCGTGGCACATCGTGCTCAGTTTCGACGTTAATAACCATCAGCGTTACTGACACATTGCATTTATCATTCCGGTGAGCCTCGGGGCAGGAACAAGAGTTTGATATCTACATTATTGGTTCCGGGCCGCTTTCATCCACTCAGTGGGACAGTGTAAGGCGGGCCCGCGCGCGGACAACCGTGGACAGTGGACACCAGACGTTTTAGCCACGTTTTACCTTCAGTGTTATATTTTCTTGCGTACAAGCTGCATTGAAATTCCAGCCTTCTGTTGACTATATGTGTTGGGTAAACGTTGTTGCTGTATTTTTGCTCTCATCCAGTCGCGACATTTCGTTTTATTTACTTTCATTCCCTTTTGCTGCCTCTGCAACTTGTTCTGTGTAGTCCCGAGAGGAAGGGAGGCATTCATTGAGTGTCATTCAACGTGAGCGTAAATACGAAGCGATAAAGCTCCGGATGCTCGCTAATTTAGACGGGAGCTGACGTAGAAGCATTCGCTGTGCCACCACATTGACACGCTGGTATAAATCCAAGGGCAGCGGCACACATATCGCCGCCGCCGAGGATGCCGTGCGCTCTGGCCATAGACATTGCTGTCACGGCGGCCAGAAACGGCAGCGGATGGCCCGGAAAGGCCCCTCGGCAGCCATTCGGACGTCCCGGCAGTGCGCGTGTTTAGCGCCGGCCAACTCTGCTCGTTCATTTTAGCGGTAGACTGCCGCATTAGCAGGCGGCGCACTCACAGGGGGCAGACAGACGCAAACACAAACACAAACACACAGTCTACACTGGGAAACTGGGAAACGTGTCTTATAATCGGAGTATATAATGCACGGAAAGATAATGCTGCGACAACACTGGCTTTTAGATTCCGTTGATGTGTTGTGAAGGAAGTACAATTTCAGCTTCCCTCTCTACAGGATAAAAAGGTCAGCCACTCCAGAGTTGCATTCAGTACTCACCGGAAGCTATAAAATCTGTCCCGATACAGGTGGCATTTGCATTTGCTCTGTTCCGGATGGGGTCAGCCGAGCTGATTGAATCTGCAGAGCCAGCCGAAGTAAAGCAGCACAGGTCGCTCAGTAGAATGCATGGCAGGATGCAGCGGGGTGTGGAAGGGTGCAGTGGGTGCGACGGGGATACCTCGACGTAAGCTGACCGGTGCACGGGCTAAAGGTCGGTAATATTGCAGGGCGCTGCAGTAAGCGCTATTATGGCTGCAGGTAAAGGTGAGGTGCGCCACTCCGCCGCCCACTACCTACCGCCCACCGCTCGCCGCCCACCGCCCACCGTCCACCGTCTACCATCTACTGTCCACTGTTCACCGTCTACTGTCTACCGTCCAATTTCCACCGCCGCCCGCCGCCCGCCGTCTGCCGCCTGGCTAGTCTGGCTGCCAGCGCCAGCCGCTTCCCGCCGGCCGCTCCGCCGCTGAAGCTGGCGTGTCCCCGCGCGTACCTATCCCGGGCGCGGAGCGGGGGCGCAGCCCGATTGGTGGCACTATTCAGCCGTGCCGAGGTTGTGCTGCTGCCCCGGGCCGGATATTGGCGGCCGGGGCGCCGCTCACCCGTGATCGAGCGCCCGTGCCGCCCCCACTCACCAGTACCCGGTGACCCTCAATCCATTGCCCTGTGACCCCGAAGAAAATCTCAGAATCCAGTATCCAGTACCCAGTAAGGTGCTCCCCCCTAATGAGTATCCGGTGGCGGTGACCATTAAAGGGACTGTCCCACCTTCAAAAAATTGCTTTGATATACTGTTCTTGTGTTGCAAGACATAGATTAGGGGCCCCTGTACACGAAATTGGCAAACATTCGGTCCATAGTTGGCTAATTGTTTAAAAATTCCAATTTAAAGCTTTTGGATCGATTACGTCATATGATTGTTTTTTTATCGGGCAAAGTTTTTTTCCTAGCTGCCAAATCGGTGGCACAAAGTTTTGTTACGCTTCTGCCGCGAATAGTACAAACATTGCGCATGAAATCAAAACTCAGGAAATTGGTATTTTAGTAACATGCATGGTAACATGTTCAATGTTCATGGAAAGGATTGAAATAAAAATTGGAAAATTGAAGCTTGAACTTTGCCAAGAAGAAGGTCGCAAACTGCAAAGAATATCAACAAGGCCTTATTTATCATTTTTAAAAGATTATAGAATGCTCCCTAATAAGCAAAAGCAAGATATTGATGTTTGATTATTGATGCTGCCCACAATGTCTTGGGCACATGGATGATGGAAGTGAGCTCAACTTCAATAATCAGACCTAAGAATCACAATGGATATAGCCATGAGCCAGACTGCAAAGTATGGCAATTTTGTCCAGATGTCAGTGCAGACTCCTTCGTCTGGTGCGGATTTAAGTGTGGTGCGGTGTGGATTTGGTTTGGTGTGGTGCAGATTTAGTGTAGCGGGGTGCGAATTTGGCTTGCTGTGGTGCAGATGTGTAGCATTGTGGGGATTTGAGGTCAGTGCAGATTTTGACTGGCCATTTTGGGGTTTGGTGCATTTTTTGTGTTCTCTCAGCCCCCTTTGGTGTGAATTTTCTGGCTCAGTTTGCAGGGTTTGTGTCAATTTTGAACTTAGGCCAGTACTCCTTGGCGACCTGCGAGCCATACTCTGCAGTACTGGCCTGGGCCCATGAGCAAAGTAATATATATAATATAGTCTGTTCAAGATTCAATATAATAAGTCTGCAAAACACATTCCAGCAATTGTAATTGAAGCAGAATGAATTGTAGTGACCTGCATTTGTATTTTTGTTGTGTCTGTGCAAAATAATAAATATGCCTACTTATTGGAAAAATCGTGGCCTTTCAGCACATTTGGCAGAGTTGTGTGACTCTGATTTAGTGGCTAATGTGGAACGCAACGAGCTGCGGAACAAGCTTGAATAGCATTTTGCCTCAGGGCTATCTGCCAGAAACATTTCATCTGCATGAATTTATCTACAGGCAAGTCTGACAAATTTGTGGATTAACTGGGGACCTTGTAAGCCTGCATATTAAATTCTAGCCTACCAGCTCAGCCCTATCCTCAGTTTCAGCATTCAGCATGATAACAGTTCTGATCAAGTTCTGATTGTCACCACTGAGACACCAATGGAGTCCTCTGAAAGTTTGCCTTTTAATTAAATTATTTGTAAGAGTTTCAAGCTATATTTAGACCAAACATTTCACTCTCAAAGATCTGCGACCTACCCCACTCGTCCAGTAGGATGCCTGGCGCGCAAACAGTCCAGCAGTGAGCTGCCAGCCGGCACGCAGGGCAGCAGCAGGCAGCGGCAGCAACGGCAACTGGTGAACACGTCTTGGACTGCAGCCACGACATAATCTAGGGTAGCGTCTATTCAATTTGTCCATGTACAAGTCCCAAAGCTCCTGCCCGAGGTGCCCGAGGTTGCGCAAGTCAGGGAACTGACCACCTCCAGCCCAGGCGTGGTTCACTGACTCAAGATATTTCAACTGACCAGTCAGAGTTCATGTTTTGCAACTTTTATCCAAGTTATTTGTAATTGTAATATTCTAAACTGAATTTTAGGCATGACTTCATTTTTCAAGAGCTACAAAGAACACACCTTCCCTGTGCAGCACGTCTATTGTCCTAACATTAGTCACATAGTTGCAAGAAGCGACTTGAATGCGGAACCTGCCTGTTTTGAAGCCCTGTTGTCTGTTGGGTGACACTGCACAGAGGTAAGGATGGGGTGTGATTTTGCTGCTGTTTGTCAGGTGCAATATGTGTGTCAATGATCACAAAGTACTCTAAGGTTTAAAAAATGCACAGCATGGCCTAACAAAGCACATTACCTAGGTTTTGACAAGCAGCGCAGCGACTGTGGTACAAAGGCCCAGTCCTGGTCCCATGCTCATGTTAGTAGCTGGATCTGCTCCCAGGAAACAAAGGTAAAACACTATTGACAGCTTTAACCCTCGCCCGTAAACGGCGATCTGCCACCTTCGCCCATGCAGGGGGGGGGGGTTGGTGCGACCCCCCCCTTGGCGTTTGAAAACGGAGCGTCGTAGAGCTTAGCGGAAAAGACCAACGGATTGCTCTCGCCGAGATCTCGCGATTGGTGGTATATTTTTTGGTCCTAGGTCAACATTTGACCTACTTTTGACCGGTCAAAGGTCAAATTTTCGGAAAAATAGACTTTTTCAAATTTTCCGCGGCGATTGCGGCAAAACGGTGGGAGATATCGACTTGAAACCTTCACTATCGTGTTCCTTGATCAATTCTCTATCGTTTGGTATGTATTTCGTTTCCCTAGCTCTAAAAATGGCGCGTTGGGAGCGCCGGAAGTCGGCAAGGTCACAGTCGGCGGCAGAAATTCGAAAAATCAAAATTTAAATTTTTGAAATCTGATTGTATTTTTGGATTTGGGATGTCCATTTGCTCCCTATAGAAGCTAATATTGCTGCATATTCCCATTGAGGTGACAAGAATTAGCAAAATAGTGGTTCGGGCGCTTTTCAAAAATAGTACCGGACGCTGTTCCTCTTGTGACGTCATAGCTCCGTGACCTGACCTGACCCGGTCAAGTTTCTTATACCATATGATAGCCAATACTTGCCCCAACATGCATGGGAAGTTTCATCACGATCCATCAACCGATGTCCGTACCACCGGCAGGAAACCTCGGGCGTTGGCACTCAGTTTGTGAAAATCCGGCCGGAGGCTGTTCCCTTTGTGACGTCATAACTCCGTGACCTGACATGACCCGGTCAAATTTTTTTTTATCAAAAGATGCGCAAGGTTTGCCCCATAAGGTACCTAAAATTTGGCGGCGCTGCGCGCCGCCGTTTTTGCACTATTTCCGAAAAACCTCAGGGGGGGGGGGGGTTGCACCAACCCCCCCCTACATGGGCGAGGGTTAAGATGAAATCTGCAGGAAAACTAAGCCATCTATAAAATCTAACATAAGCTTAA